ATGTGAGGGAAAATCCATTTAGAAAATGTTAAATTCCTTTTCCAGACGTTTGGTTGTAGCATAATTTCAATTAGTGTGTGTATGTTAATGTGTAATTGATAGTAGAAAAAAGTTACATTTTTAAAACTGCTACTTGTATAAAACCTTTCCTCTTTTCCCAAATACTGTGGGTTTTGTGCATAGTTTTTACAAACCTTGGATTTACCAGATTGTCTTTTCACTGTTTGTGGGTTTTGTAGAAGTTATGCATTTTTATGGTAGATAAAATGTTACTTCTATACAAGTACTCACTCCTTTTATCAAAAGTTAATTTTAATCTCACAGTCTACATTGTGCTACATTATCCTGCTGCTTTGTAACAATTTGTGGTCTGTATGCCTTTTTGTAATGACGACTAGATATCCAACTGACAATTCTACAAGGTACAAAACTCATGTTAAGTTTTGAAGGTAATTTAGTTTTGTGGCTGGGAATTCAGTGAAGTCACATGGCTTTCCTATAGAAAGCAGAATAAGGTATGTATAGGAATGAATCTGGCTTTAGGGTTCAAATCATCTAATAAGATCCTTACTAAATGATAAAAGTTTATTTTTGAGAACTGTCATGTTTCTGAATTTTTAAAAAGTCACACTCATTAAGGAAGTTACTAAGTATTTTTTTAATTGGAAAAAAAATTCCATGATTCTTATGCAGTAAAATAGTAGAAATAAATACTATATAAGAAAACTAACCTATTTGAAAACATGGCTATATCAGAAGGGGTTATTATGTAGAGCTCTTCCATGTGACAGAATTGTAAAGAGTAGAAAGATAGCTTGCTCCGAGGCAGTTAGAAAAAGTAGTAAAGTACTTTGATAGTCTGTATTCATATATAGACTAAATCAGGGTAAAACCAAGGTTAACAAAATTTAAGGGTAACTTAACAGATAGCATTTCTAAGATATTTTGATTATTAGGTCAGTTGGTGGTTTTCAGTAGCTAAAAGACATTTCTCATGTTTTGAAACTATGAATATGGAGAAAAGGCTTATTAATACCAGTGTTTGCATGTGACATGCACTGTATGTTTTGACCTCTCAGATAATGGTTTCATCTATAGATGAAAAGTTGAATTATTTCAATAATTGGAGTTTTTGCTTTTTGAGAGGTCTTACAAATGTAACTAGGACCCACTGTTTTGAGGGAACTATTGCTATTATATCAGGTCCTTAATACAATTTAAATTTGGACAGATTTATTCTAGTTAAGCCATAAGTGTCAACATTGTAAACTTGTTTTGATTAAAGGATTTTTCTATCAAACTCTACCAGTAAATTAATTCTTTGCTATTTACAAAAGTGTTTTTGGAATCTGGATTTGCTTCCAAGGGAGTAATTTCTTGGTTAACTCGGTATAGAGACTGTGCTGTGGGGTGACAGGGTAACTAAATCTAGTAAGCTAAAGATGTTATTTTTTGTTCACCCTCCTCTTTTATTCTGTGACCCAACAGATCAATATAGTTTTACTGAGAAACCACAGAAATATTCAACGTCCAGAGATACAGAGAACGGCACTCTGATACTTTGTGTTTGTTTGAGCTGGCCTTGTCTCTAAACAGTTGATTTATATAGTGTGAAAATATAACTGGCCTTCTATTTTTCTGTTGGTCATAAGCTGATTCACAGGTAATTACCACTCTCAGAACTATAAAGTCATAATGCTTAAACTTTCAGAAGCATTTGCTCACTTTAAATTGTGTGTGTATGGTCAAAACTCCACTGAACAAGTCAGTAAGGTAACTTAGCAAAAGAGAAGAAAAAAAATTTCTGGCATGTGTAAACCATCTATTTTGTACTTTTGTTAAACCACTAGATAACACTTAAAAGAGTAAGTTATGCATGACCCTGCAGAATGAATTGCGGAAAGCTGTCTTAGCTGCTTTGGAGACATTTCAGCGGTATCCTCTGAACTGGAGAAACAGTGTATAAACAACTTGACTATCTTAAACCTGCTGTTATGTCCTGTAGTTTCAAATAGGATGATATTTTACCCAGTTTTTGTGGAGACGTTCATTATAGTGTACCAACACACACTTACCTGGTTGAAGAGATCTGGTCAAGATGAGGGTTGCCAACTAATCCTATATAAGAGCAAAGGCTTTTTACAGGGCTCTGTGAGGGCTTCACTAACACCTTATTTTGTCCCATTGGTCAGAGAAAGGATGATCTATTGGAAATAGCAAACCCATAATTACAAACCTTAGGAAATGAAGCTGCTATATAGGTAGAAACGTTTTCATATTTGTGCTGTGTAATTCTCCAATCTTGGAGACAATAAAGACATTATGATTTGAGTAGAGGAAAAAAGGTAAAAATTACCCTTATAGGATACCAAAAGCTGAGAAAGATATTTAAAGAAATAGGTACTGCTTTTCTAAATAGTGATTTTTGTGCATGTTCATCCGTTACTATACCAAAATCTCCTTTCTCTAACTGTAAGTTGATTATCATATTAGCTGATAAATTGATTACCATATTTTCATATTTGCTTTTCATTACATGTCATGTTTAGTATTGAATTTTACAGCCATAAAATCCCTAAATCAAGACCTCTTTTAGACCGGTTTCAAAGTTGGAAGTTCTTTTGACTTGAATTTGGTGTGGGACACCTGTGTAACTGATAAACACTACATTGGCAAATTCTGGGCATAATCAGGTTAGCCTTTCTTCCTCTAGATTTCACAAGGGGAAATGAAAATACAAAGATATCTGAGCTTTTTAATTTTGGTGGAAAAATTACCCTTAAGAATTAGAATAAGATTAATAAATGATAAAACAAGAATTTCACTAGCAGTAATGTTTTAATTGACAGTCTCTGTCCACTAAAATGACTGCACATGGACTAATGTTTCTGTTAGGACAGTGCACATTTTGGAATTTGCAGTTTTGAGAATCTGAAATGGGAATGAATACAAGTAAACCTCTGAAACCAACAGAACACTACATGGTAAGTAGCTAGAACTTGGAGAGGAAAAAAATCAACAGACCTTGGATACTAATGCAAGAACTACAAGGAATGCAGTTTAAAAATAAAGGAAGCAGGGGCACCTGGGTGGTTCAGTCAGTGGAGGGATTTCTTGATTTCAGCTCGGGTCAAGATCCTCCACATCATGGGACTGAACTCTGCCTGGGATTCTCTCTCTCCCTCTGCCCCTCTCCTTGCTCGCTCTCACACACTAAATCTTTTAAAAAGATGAAGCAGAAATTCATTTTTCCCTGTGGAACTAGCAGGAATTGGGCGAGTATGGTTTTCTAGCTGAATTTTTAATCTGTTCAATTTACCATCGTTGGAAACATGAAAGTAAAAATTTAGTAGCATAAGCCAGCCACGGGAGGCACCTCTTCTTATACTCATCCTCTGGTGTATTTACTGAGTCAGTGAATAAGACCATCAGTACACATACCAGAAACAGGTGCTTGTCTTCTGCACACCAATCAACTTAATTGGACATGTATTTAAGTCCATAAGACATTTCACTGCCAATATTTTAAATATACATTCTTAAAGGCTTCATCAGTTTTTGATTAGTATGGTAAATGTCTGTTCTTAGCCATCCAGGGAATGTGGTACTCAGTTGAATTTAAATAAATAACCTAGGAAAGAGAAAGTGGAATTTAAATAATGATACATTTAAAAAAAAACCATTTTACAGCATTCTTAACAATCTTTTCAAAACTACCCACCAAAAAAGATTTTGGGAAAACATTTCAATATAGATAGCTACAATTTTTCTGTGATGATCTAGGCCTTGCCTTGGAATTCATCTTTGGCCTTTTGTCTAGAATGAGAGAAGTGAATAAATAGTGTTGTCAGAGGGGGCCAGAGTAATGGAAGAGCTGGGCCAAAAAACTCTGGTTTTTACATAAATAATTCTGGGTATTACTGCACAAGTATGAGTGAACCAGAGCTAGCAATCCATAGGATCTTGACTTCTCATGTCCCAGTGGTCACATTATATAAAATCTACCATTTTAAGATTTTATTCTTAAGTCATCTCTACAGCCAATGTGGGGCTTAAAACCCCCAGATCAAGAGTTGCATGCTCTACCGACTGAACCAGCCAAATGCATCAAAATCTGTTTTCCTAATCATAATAATAAACTGAACAAGTTCTCATAAAGAATCTTCAACTGAAATGTTACTTTCGGGATCCCTGGGTAGCTCAGCGGTTTAGCCCCTGCCTTTGGCCCAGGAGTCCTGGGATCGAGTCCCACATTAGGCTCCCTGCATGGGGCCTGCTTCTCCCTCTGCCTCTATGTTTCTCGTGAATAAATAAAATCTTTAAAAAAAATGGTATTTTGTGAAGGTATGAATATGCTCAAGATCTTTTTACGTTCATTATTCATACAGTGAGTCCCATTAAAATGATTAGCGTGCCTGCTAGCTTCTACCAAAACCAGAACCTAATATTACAAAACAGCCCTCAGTGGGATCAGATTACACAATAGCTATTCTTAATACCATATTTGTTAAATCTACTTTTATTCTTCTCATTTTTATCACAGATATTTGAAGGATCTTTACCTTGGAAGTTTGATGGTACAAAGGTATAGCTCTCACAGTCTTCAAAGAATTTTCAAAACACTTCCACCACTTGATGTATCATTAACTGAATTTTTCTAGTTACAGATTAGCAAAAAGTACCCTGGACACAGAATGAATAGGCAAGCCACAGAATGGCCAAAAATCAGAATACCTGAATCTGACAGGATTTATATTCAAAATATATAAAGCACTCCTACAACTTAGTAAATAAACACAATAATGGGCAAATACACTAAAAACCATATTTTGAAATAACTACTAAAATAATTCTAAACAAAAGTTATAAGAAAACCTATGATTTATAAATAAAGCGAAACCTGTGATTTACACTTTTGCAGGTGTATGGGTAGCTAGCTGATTGTTTCAGGTGATTTCTGTTACTCAGTGGCATGTTCAAGAAAGTAACCATCCAAGGGGACAGGTACTTCACAAGGTACATTTTTTTGTTACTAATTAAAGGTTCCAGGATCAACATAAGGATAAGCAAGGAATTCTCCTAGTTTGTTGCCTTCTGAATCATAGTGGAGCATCCGAAAGCACACATCACAAAAGAAACATGGGTCCTCTGGTGCAAAACTGTCATTGTTCGTCACCCATCTGTAATTAAAAAAATAAAGTACATCTTTACAGCCAACTTTCTCATGCTTTAACATGTTATGACCTGCAGTAATGTGTAAACATCCCCAACTATTGCTTTATTGTCCTAATACACTGTAATCCTTTATAAAGCTCTATAGGTGTATAGAAACAGTCCTATCACTACCAATACTCTACAGGGCAAAGGGGCAACTAACAAATCCTGCAGCATGCTGTTTCTCTGAAAGACTAAAGGTAAGTAGAGAAAAATACATATCCGTACGTGAAAAGCATCCTACACATACATACCCTTACCTATCCTCCAAGTAACTGTTAAAATGTAATAGGCCATCTTGAAAAACTGTTACATATTAGATACTGCAGACCTGATGAACTTTTGTGTAACTTATCTTTTTAATTGGTAAATTAGTCCTGGCCAATTTGAAAACTCCAGGTGTTTTATCTAAAATTCAGGATAAAATGTTACAGAGTGTCTACAAATGGGAATATGGGCAACATTGAACAATACTTTGTTTTTTGTTCTGAGATGTTAGGTCATGGTAAGATGAAAGACTTTTTCAGTCTATCTGAATCTGCATCTCCTTGTATATTTTAACATTGCCTGATTTCCACTTTGATAACAGATTTAACATGTTTTCTTACTAGTCATTTAGAAAAGCCTATTGGGAGGGGAGGGGAGAACCTCTCAAAAATCTGATACACAATCATTCTTGTTTCTTCTGAATTTTTTTATTCTGATCCAGTTACACAAACTAAACGTGAAGTATCACATTAAGTAAAAATTTCATGAAACCATATTTTGACCTCATTGTATATATGAGATGCTGTTATTTTTTCATGAAGAAGCTGTGAATGAGGCTGATTTTGGAAACTGCAGACAAAAGACAACATGCTCCCTGATGTGACAGTGTTGATTCATCCAAAATCTGACCCAGCTCTGGTTTTTTACTATACAGAACTCATTTCCTGCTTAAAAGTAACCTACTAATTTGTGGCACTTACCTACTAGAAAAACCACTTCTATTATATTCCCAAAGACTAAGTCCTCATTCCAATTCAAAATAAGAAACACTGAAATACGAAGAATGGAAAGTACTTGACTATTGAAAACCAGTAATTCTCAAAGAAATAGGTATTACTTACCTGGCTGTGTACATTTTACAAACAAAACATTTTCTGGTCCATAGCCAATGCTTCTTGATAAGAAGGGGATAAAGTGTCCTATCCAAGCAGTCATCACGATGTGCAAGCCTTTTGTACATGAGAAGTAAACCAAGGCATTAAAAGACAAATTGTTGTGATCTATAAAGAATTAAATATATCTGTACCTCGACATTAGGAACACAGTAGGCATATTTTTCAATTTTTTTAAATAAGAGATTTAGGTATAAAATCACTTGCTACACTAGGTCTGACCAAATTGCATTCCACAGAAACACTCTCCTAAAGATCATTTGAAATTAATATTTTCTTTCCCATGAAACTTCGCAAAGTGTTTTATGGTAATATGCTCTGTGACTCTCTAAGAGGAAGATTAGTGTGCAGCAGATCTTGTATGTATTCATCAGAAAGCCCTTGCTTTACTCAACACTTTATATCTTTTGATGAAACACAGTTTGAGCAAGCAACTAATCTATTTGGTTTTGTGTTACATGGTTCTTTATTAAAATCTAAATCAGAATCCTGGTATAATGTGAACTGACAGGACTTTAGTTTTGGGTGTCGATTAGTAAATTGTAAATGAAAGTCAGTCTCTATCACTAATCAACTGGGTTTGAGTAAATCCCTTAACCATGCTGGACCTCAGATTCTTCATCCAAAAAATGAAGGAACTGCACAAGAGTATTCTTAAAGGTCTCTATTTTAAAATTTGATTTTTTTAAAGGGTAGCAATATATCAACTTCACATCAGAAAATGATTAATAAGCTTGTAACAGTTTACCAACTATTAGACTATGGAATGGCACTGAATGATTAAATTCACCTATAAAATAAAAAATGATTTGTAGCCTAGGGGCGCCTGGGTGGTTTAGTTGGTTAAGTGTCTGTCTGCCTTTGGCTCAGGTCATGATCTTGGGGTCCTGGGATCAGTCTCCAAATCAGGATCCCCAGCTCAGCAAGGAGTCTGCTTCTCCCTCTACCTCTGCAGTTACCCAATGCTTGTGTGCATGATCTCTCTCAAAATCTTAAAAAAAAAAAAAAAAAAGACTTGTAGTCTAAATTACTTTTGGATCCCTGGGTGGCTCAGCGGTTTGGCGCCTGGCTTTGGCTCAGGGCATGATCCTGGGGTCCTGAGGATTGAGTCCCTGCTTCTCCCTCTGCCTGTGTCTCTGCCTCTCTCTATCATGAATAAATAAATAAATCTTTAAAAAAATAAAAATAAAAAAAAAATAAAAATTCCTTAAAGGCCACCTGCCTGGCTCACTCCTTGGAGCATGCAATCCTTAGTCTCAGGGTTGTCAGTTCAATCCCTACACCTAGTGTGGGGCCTGCTTAAAAATAAAATCTTAAAAAAAAAAAAAAAGTGCAATTTAATCTTTCAAAAAACTAAAAATAATTCCTTAGGAACACTCCATGCTGCAAATGTTTACTAAGTGTGGCTTGTTCTTCCACGTTGCCTTTAAGACTGACAAGGCCATACAGTAAGAAATGTTAAACTAAAATCAGAGAAAAGTGGATGGTCTTCTATCTTATCCTAATTCTTAGGCACATTCCCCTTCATTTGAGTGAAAGAACACACAGAATAGCTTAATATAAAACTTAAAATTATATATATACATTTCTTTGATAGTGTGTTAATCCTATAAAACTGGAGTTTATGAGCTCTCCCGGGCCTTCCTTTAGCAATTCTTCCCAAAGGGCCAATGTTTTGCATACTTAACTGTTTCTTTTAAATTTAGCTCCTCAACATCCCTCTACAGAACAAAATAACCTTGGTTAAATCGATGTTTAATGTTTACATTATACCAAATTACTACTACTCACCCCTAAACTCCACAAACGACTACAGGTTCCTTTTATCGTGTGACACGTGGCTAGAAGCTATACAGGCTCTCAGGTTTGCATCTGCTTAGGTGTCCTGTACCTGCGGCTAATCGGGTTCTGTACTTTCTGACAGACTGAACAGTGCTCTCCGTGTGTGTCTGCACCATGGGAGGCGGAGCGGTGCCAGACACCCTTCCTGAGTTCCTCCACTGGGCTCAGGCCCACGCTATCCTCTAGGTGGGCTGGACGGCCATCATGCTGGAGAGAAGTCCCAGCATTCCACAGCTCTCTTTAGGTCTTATCTGTTCTGCTTTGCATTCATGTCTTTCAAAGTTTACTCTGTGTGAAGTACTTCCTCTGGGAGTCTCCTGAGCATGAGTGCATGCGAAGTCAATTTTTGGAGACTGGTCACTAAGATCCAAGAGAGGTGGAATGGCAGGGGCTTCCTGAAGGCACCCATTCCTATTACTGGTATAATAAAAAGCCTGGATCTGGGACTGCTCCACACAAAGACTCCCATAAAAATGGTCTTTCGGAATAAAAGCTGGGATGGAGCAGGGCTCATTCTTGCAATACTGATCCTTCCCAAAGTGACATTTCTTAAATAAGGAAATGAACAGTCTTATACATGAGAGAGACACAAACTATACAAAATTATCGTAATACAATCTCATTTTAAACTACTTTAATCCTTCCCAGTTTTTTATACTTTATGTAAGCCTTAAGACCTCATATTTGTCAAATATTAGAATTTCTCTTCTCTTCCCCCAGTTCCCTTCAATCTCCATAAAATTCTGGCAAAGAGACAAGAAACCTAGATATATAGTTGCAAATTTGCTAAGGAAAGGGGCTACAAGATATACAAAATGATCTACAGAGTGGATGGCGGGGTGTCTGGGTGGCTCGGGTAAGTGTCTGCCTCTGGCTCAGGTCATGATCCCAAGTCCTGGGACCAAATTCCATATCAGGCTCCCTGCTCAGCAGGGAGCTTGTTTCTCCCTCTTCCTCCCCACCCCCACTTGTGTTTTCTCTTCCTCCTTCTCTCAAATGAATAAATCTTAAAAAAACAACCCAAAAGTGAATGGCTGCTGCCTGCCTAATACACAAATGGAAATGCTTATCTACAGATTTTTCACCCTCTATTAAAGTATTTCTATATAGTATATCTACTCCTCAAAATAGAAAATGCGGGCAGCCCCGGTGGCTCAGTGGTTTGGCGCCGCCTTCGGCCCAGGGCATGGTCCTGGAGTCCTGGGATCGAGTCCCACGTCGGGCTCCCTGCATGCAGCCTGCTTCTCCCTCTGCCTCTCTCTGTCTCTTATGAATAAATGGATAAAATCTTAAAAAAAAAAAAAAATAGAGAATGAAAATGGATAGAAAATTGGTCATTCCATGGAAAGCAAATGATTTTGCTGCTCCTAAGCCAAGCTGCAGTGATGACTTTTTTTTTTTTAGAAGATTTTATTTATTTATTCATGAGAGACACAGAGCGAGAAGCAGAGACATAGAAGGAGGGATAAGCAAGCTCCCGCAGGGAGCCCAATATGGGACTTGATCCCAGGACCCTGGATCACCACCTGAGCCAAAGGCAGGCAGACAATCACTAAGTTACCCAGGCATTCCTACAATGATGATTTTTATTCCTCTTATTAAAAACAAACACAAACAGCCTGTGCTCTCATACTGTAAAATAAAAAGAACAAATAACGTTGTTCTGAGTGCTGCCACTTACCTTATGTCAGTAATGACAACAACATGTTCACAGTCTCCCTGGTGACAATATAAGTAAGGAAAACCCAGTTTAATATACAGGTCATTGAAGGTGAAATCTTCCATTTTAGCAGTCTGAAATTTTCCATAGCCTCTATCATGGGACTCTGACCACTCAATGATAGTTCTGAAAGGGGGGGGAAAAGATGATACTTCATTATGCCCCAAAAAAACCCAAAAATATGACAGAAAATGGTTTGTGACTACAATTATTTCATGAGGCCTGACTCAATAAACTGGACAGTTACCACCTTGAGGTGAAAATCTCAGTGAATTTGTCTTTATCCAGTAGAGCAACAGTTCTCAAAGTGTGGTTCCTGAATTGTGATAAAATATCATTTGCCCTTTTCAACTCCTATTCTCTCATAAATGACCAGTACTCTAGAGGCTACATGATGTGTTTTATCACATCAGACTGAACGGAAAATGTGGAACAATGTCACTGGTCTCATTTTGTTTTGGAAAAGTTACTTTCCCTCCAAATTATTAAAGTTAACATGTAATGGGATTAAATTGATTAATATTTAAAATATTTCTCAGTTTCAACTTCTAATATGGTAAATACTAATAGCTATAAGCCCACATAATCAAAGTTCTTTAGAGTCCTCAATTATAGTATAAAGGAATGCTGAAACCAGCAAGTATGAGAACTGCTACATTAGAATACAGATACAAATAGCTATAATTAAAGAGAATATATATAAACACTCAGAAACAATATACATATATACCCTAGTTGCTAGGACACTGACAGTAAAAGTATGGTCTAATTAACATGATTATGAGCTACGGATTTTTCATGTTATATACTTAACCATGTATTTACATACCCATCTAGGGCAAACAACAGTATACACTGGATAAGCAGAAAAAAACACTGAAAGAATAATTTATTGCTATCACCCAAATAGGAGAAACTAATATAGAGTTTAAGTGGGATTTAAAGTTTTTTAGATGTATCTATGGCTCAATACAAGATTTGCTATGATTTCTTTTTTTTTTTTTAAAGTAGGCTCCATGCCCAACATGGGGCTCAAACTCACAATCCCAAGATCAAGAGTTGCTACTGACTGAGCTAGCCAAGTGCCCCCAAATTTGCTGTAATTTCTAAGACAGCAGATAGCACAAAGATTTTGAAATGTCTGTGTAGATCTTTGGCAGGAAAATTTTCTTCCTGGAGTAAAAATTTTGATTAATTTACTAGTACCTAGGCTAACCAGATGAAATACCTGAATATACTCTAAAAACTGAGAGAGATCTTTAACCGCAAGACAAAACAGCCTAACAAAACAATTCATTGGCAAAGACTCTTAGCAGACCAGTAACAGGATCTGTGGAGATCTTGCTATTTTAAGAACTAGAAACAGGAAAGACTCAGAAGATTTTTGAAAACTGTACCTGCTCAAATCTCTGCACTCAGGGTATCTTTTATCATTGTAAAATGTCCCTTCAAAATAAAAGAAGGCTGATTTGTACAGGTCCTACAAGGAAACAGATGGCATTGAATAAAGTCCTCTATTCACAATTATGAAATTGCTGCCAATTCAAAATTTGTAAGTCATAAAACCACACTTACATGCTTTATAGTAACTTCATGCAACTTCACAGAATATGCTTATTAGCTCATTAATTTATTCAATGGGAACCTCCTATGTGACAAGTACTATGCTATTTACCAGGGATGAAAGTGTAAAGATCGGGGATCCCTGGGTGGCTCAGCGGTTTAGCGTCTGCCTTTGGCCCAGGGCGCGATCCTGGAGTCCCGGGATCGAGTCCCGCGTCAGGCTCTTGGCATGGAGCCTGCTTCTCCCTCTGCCTGTGTCTCTGCCTCTCTCTCTATCATAAATAAATAAATATTAAAAAAAAAAAAAAAGAAAGTGTAAAGATCTGATCCTTGGTGCTATTTTCAATTTTATCCTATTGCTGTTTTAATTACTAAGTCTGATTTAAATTTATTCTGAGACTCATGAAAGGAACCTAATCAGAAGTGAAATAAACTTCAATATTATTTATTATAGTGAGTTACTTTGGATGCTAGCATGAAAAACTGAAAGTCACATCTTTGGTAGTTCCACAGCGATAATAAGTGATCATAGTGTTATGTTTTTCTGTTTTTTAATAGTTTCAGTGTCCTTTTTTTTTTTTTTAAGTTTTATTTAATTGAGAGAGAAGAGAGCATGAGTGAGAGGGACAAAGGGAGCAGATGCCACACTAAGTATGGAGCCTGAAGTAGGGCTTGATCCCATGGCCCTGAGATCACGACGTGAGCCAGAACCATGATTTGGATGCTCAACCAGCTACACCATCAGGTGTTCCTCAGTGTACTTTTATAAAAATTCTCCCTTCAAATTTTCAAGAATTTTTAGGCAGAATTTGAATATTCTGACTCAAGCAATCTTTTTTTTTTTTTAAGATTTCATTTATTTATTCATGAAAGAGAAAGAAAGACAGAGACATAGGCAGAGGGAGAAGCAGGCTCCATGGAGGGAGCCTGACGTGGGACTCGATCCTGAGACCACGGATCACGCTCTGAGCCAGGGGCAGGTGCTCAACCGCTGAGCCACCCAGGCGTCCCTGACTCAAGTAATCTTACCCATAAAGTACCACAGCAGTCACACAACTGGTCTGAACTGTCAGGCTTCTTAACTTTCAGCCTACCAGACTTTGCAGAAGGGGGTCTCCTGCTCCTCACTGCCCATCAGAATCATAGAAACACCAAAGACCAAGTCTCAAGGCCATTAAATGAGAATCTCTCAGCATATGGCCCAGGCACCAAGGTTTTCCCAAGTTCCCCAGGTGATTCAAATGGGCAAGGGATTCATTCCGTCATTTACAGACTATCTGGCACTGGCATCAGACACCCTTATGAGACTGGCTGTGCTGTTTCTCACTGGGCTGTCATTTGATTTCCCTGACCCACTGTTTCCTCATGTAACACAGGAGTAAAGCCATTACCTTCTTCCCAGGTGCTTACAGACCTAAAAGGATAATCTGTATTAGAATGCCCTGTCTAGCTGCTGTTCACACAAAAACCACCACAAAATAAACTTCTGGACCCTCAAAGAGGTAAGCTAGGGTCTAAAATAAATGTTCTGAAAGAACACTGCCTTACTTAGACATAAAAAGTTTCAGGGTTTTTTGGGATCCCTGGGTGGCGCAGCGGTTTAGCACCTGCCTTTGGTCCAGGGCGTGATCCTGGAGACCCGGGATCGAATTCCACGTCGGGCTCCCGGTGCATGGAGCCTGCTTCTCCCTCTGCCTATGTCTCTGCCTCTCTCTCTCTCTCTCTCTGTGACTATCATAAATAAATTAAAAAAAAACAACTTTAAAAAAAAAAGTTTCAGGGTTTTTTCATTACAAAATGCTTCTATGGAACTTGAGTTGATTTAGGCAACTTAATGCGTTTGGTTGGCATAATTATTATTTAGAAGGGGAACAGTTCTCCATCTAAATCCAAACTCAGGGCAGCCCCGGTGGCGCAGCTGTTAAGCGCCACCTGCAGCCCATGGTGTGATCCTGGAGACCCGGGATCAAGTCCCACATCGGGCTCCCGCATGGAGCCTGCTTCTCCTTCTGCCTGTGTCTCTGCCTCTCTCTCTGTGTGTGTCTCTCGTGAATAAATAAATAAAATCTTTAAAAAATAAATAAATAAATAAATCCAAACTCATCCATTAGGTAACTTTTCCCTGTCTCAGTACACAAATAGAAGACGTGAGCAACCTCAACACCAGGTAATTTTGCTTTTCAGTGGCAACCGGAGATTGTCACTAACTAGTTTCCCTATTTGTCAGCTAGTTTTGCTGACCAGCTTTGGGGGAGGGGAGGATTGCCAATCAACATGGAAAAAAGCCAATGTAAGAAGTTACTTCTGTTAGGTACCTAATGTAGCCCCAGCCTCTACTTTCTATTTCCACTTTATAAACAAAGTAACTATGGAAAACTAATGTGATCATGTGAACAAAGTCATTTATATATAATTCTAGGCATGTTTGTTGTGTTGCTAATATTCAAATCAGCTGTATTAGAACTTTTCAGAAGTATTCCCTAGGATCTGCTATGAGAAAAATGGTAATGGGAGAGACACTGAAGCAGCTCTTTGTCCTACACCAGGGCTTTATTTATAATAAGCAACAGAGCAGTATGTGTGAAGTCTTTTTTTTTTTTAAGGTTTATTTATTCATGAGAGACACAGAGAGAGGCAGAGACACAGGCAGAGGGAGAAGCAGGCTCCCAGAGGTGATCCCAATGTGGGACCCAATCCGAGGACCCTGGGATCATGACCTGAGCCGAAGGCAGATGGTCAACCACTAGGCCGCCTGGGCATTCTGTGCAGTCTTTTTTTTAAAATTCCTCTAAGCAAGACCCTTAAGAGATTACTGCCCTCCCAAAAGATGAACTAATCTGAGCAACAAAAAAAGATTAGATATTAAAATGTGAGAGACCATTAAAAAGAAAAAAAAAAAAAAAAAAAAAAAAAAAAAAAACCCCACGCGAGACGAAAATACTGGCACTGATCTTATACATATATTTAAAGAATGCACTTCATCCTTTAATGTTATAGTCCAAAAACAAACATGTTAGCAAAACACATTACATTTTATTTTATTTTATTTTATTTTTTATTTTTGAAAGATTTTATTCATCCATTCATGAGACACACACAGAAGAGAGGCAGAGACACAGTCAGAGGGAGAAGCAGGCCCCCTGCAGGGAGCCTGATGTGGGACTGGATCCCGGGACTCCAGGATCACACCCTGGGCCGAAGGCAGGCGCTAAACCGCTGAGCCACCGGGCGTCCCCCACATTACATTTTAGACATAAGCTTTTAAAAGAGATTTAAATATACTGGTCCAATTCTCCCAGTCTTCTCACATAATAAAGTCATCTAATATTCAAAATTCTTGCTTGTTGGAGTGAAGATTCTCCTTTCCTCAGCTACAAAAACTGCAACTCACTGATTTTTTCCCCTGTGATTACCAGTGGAATACAAGCCAAATACCTGTCTAAAAAAGCATTATAACTTAAGGACCAATTCTCAAGTTTTGTGAGGTGTGACAACAGCATGAAGTGAACACATAACAATTTGGCAAACGCTGAGAACTGGGGAAGGTGGGTAATGGGTACATAAGGACTCATATATTATTTCTGGTGTGGTCAACATTTTCCAAGGCACCAGACTCATCAAGAAAGACAAGGACTCAGATTAACAGAAAAAAAGAAAAATCCCAAAGAAAAACTTAAAAAACTAAACCAAACCATAAAATACATATACCAATCAGTGAAATAACAATCTCTCCATAGGTCAAACAAATGTCAGTATCTGCAAACTCACTGATTTAGGAGTTCACTCTCCTAAAACCATAGCTGGGAGGAAACACACAGCTCTCTGAACAGGCAGATTCCAGAGTCCAGGCATTAGAAACCTGCTACGACCCAGAGCACAGCTGAGTTTGCACTCAGGGCCTCCTCTGGAAGCGCCCAGAAGGGCAGGGAAAGCTGCCTCTCACCTGGCGTCCTGCCAACACGGCAAAGACCATGCGGCTTGGAAGGCACGTTGACAAGGGTCTGAATCCAGCCTCCACCCCTGCTCACTGAACAGGCAACTCATGACAGCATGCTGATGCAACTGTTTCTTACTTTTCTTTTTTTTTTTTAAAGATTTTATTTATTTATTCATAGACACACACACACACACACACACACACACACACACACACACACACACACGGAGAGGCAGAGACACAGGCAGAGGGAGAAGCAGGCTCCATGAAGGGAGCCCAATGTGGGACTCCATCCAGGGTCTCCAGGATCCCGCCCTGGGCTGCAGGCGGCGCTAAATCGCTGTGCCACCGGGGCTGCCCTGTTTCTTACTTTTCAAATGGTGATAATTCTGTCCAAAACGTGCTGTCTGTCTAGCACATGGTAAGTGCTCGATAATCAGAAAGGACATTGTTTTAATAAAGAGACAGAAGAGGCAGAAACAATACAACTGTGCCTGTCTTAAGTATTTAAAATAGGACGATGGGTCATCCACCCCGTGCTTAGAAAGCTGCTGAATGCATCAGCACTGATGTACAAACACAACAACCTAGCCATGCCTGGTTACGAATCCTCTCTCAGGGTTCCTGGTGCTAAGACCGATTACCAGGTCCGACTCCAACTGCTTTGAGCAGTGGTAACACAGCGGCCATGAGAGTGAATTCAGATTTTGCTTATTAAGGTGAATTTATAAAAACCTTATAATTACAGGGTTTGGTGGGGTTTTTTTGTTTTTGTTTTGGTAGGGTTGAGAAACTGTGGCTTCTCCTTTAAAAGAAAAATGTCTCATTTCCCAGTCTGCATACAGCCTTGAAATTCCATTTGTTTCTCTTTAATCTCATGTTTATTTCCAAAAGCACCAAAATGCCAAATCTGAAGAAACCAATTATCTTAAAACCATTTTTGGTTTAACTGAAAAACGAAGTGAAATTTATGTGTGAGTCATATGGTCTCTTACGCTGGTCTCCTTGCCAATCACCAAAAGGACTGGAATACAGCCAGCCTTGCGGGGCAGAGACATATCAAATAGCACCAGCTGATTATCACAGGCACTATAATGGCCAAACGAAATGGTTCCAGAGTGGCAGTCAGGAAAAATTTTATGTAATAAGTGAGTCTTAAGCTGGGTTTGGAAATGTGAATATGAACCACATGGATGGAGGGAGGGAAAGGGCTTCCTATAGTTTTCAAATATTCAAAGGCATGAGAAAGTGTTATGTTTGAGCAACATAAAATTATCTATGGCTGAAGCATAAAGTACAGAAGTAGGGGGTGGATAGTATGGAAGGTTAACTTTGGAATCATCAATACAAAAGTCCTTCCAAGTCAGCCTACAGGGATCCACTTCGATTTTTAGATTGGAGAATGACAGGATCAATTTCTTTTTAAGGACTTTATTTTTAAAAAACGTTAAAACATTTATTATTTATTTATTTTCTTTAGAAAGAGAGCAAGAAGGGGAGGAAAGGGGAGAGGGAGAAAAAACTCAAGCAGACTCCATGATGACAGAAGAGCCCGACTTAAGGTGATCTCATATCCCTGATATCATGACCTGAGCCAAAATCGAGTCAATAGCTTAACCAACCGAGCCACCCAGGGGGCCCCTGGCATTGTGGCTTGAAGACAACAAGGGAGAGCATGGTAGGATATGAGAGTGGTGGGCAGAAAGGACCAGATAATGGTCTATGTGCAGACTATAATAAAGATGTTGTATATTCTTCTTCTAGATGTAAGAGGAAGCCACTGCAGTTCTGACTGATACTTTAAAAGTATCATTCTGGCTGGTGGAAAGGAAAAACCGAAGTGTGAAGGGAGCAAAGAGAGCTGTCAGGCTAGTCCAGGAAGGAAGGAATAGCAGTTTAACAGTCTGGTACCTGTAAAGGATCAGAAACCTGGGCAACGCCTAAATATATTTGTTAGCTGAAGTAACTAGATGCAAAATGGGCATATTTACTGAGATAGGAACAATGAGAAAGGCATAGATTGAGGTAGAAAGATCTGGAGTTTTTTTTTTTTTTCTTCAAAGATTTTATTTATTTATTCATGAGAGAGAGAGAGAGAGAGAGAGGGGCAGAGACATAGGCAGAGGGAGAAGCAGGCCCCCCGCAGGGACCCCAACGTGGGACCCAATGCCGGGACCCCAGGACCAGGCCCTGGGCCCAAGGTGGCACTAAACCACTGAGCCACCCAGGCTGCCCTAGAGTTTGCTTTTGAACAGATTAAGTTTGAGATGGCTATCAGACATCCAGTAAAAACTGTCAAGGATGGGTCACCTGGCTCAGTTGGAGAAGCATGTAACTTGATCTCAGGGTTGTGAGTTAGAGCCCCACGATGGGTTAGACATTACTTAAATAAAACTTAAAAAAAAACCTAAAAAACCATTAAGGAGACTGTTGGATACAGAAGTCTGGAGATCAGAAAAGATGTTGAAATCAGAGATATAATCCTGGGAGTCCCAGCATTTATAGCTATAAATCTGGATAAGACAAACAGAGATAAGGTCTGAGGATTGACTCCCAGGGCTTTACAACAGAAGTCAGGAAAATGAGAAGCACCCAGCAAAGGAATTAATTCAAATCAGTCAGACAAAAAGAAATCAGGTGGGTGTAACATGCTAAAAACTAAGTAAGTAAAAAATGTTGCAAGGAAGAAGGAATATTCAATCGTACCATGTGCCAATGACTGGTCAGAAAAGGTAAGAACTAAGTCTATGGTGGCATTGATAAAGCGATTTTCAAGGGGACACCTGGGTGGTTCAGTCTGTTTGGCGTCTGCCTTCAGCAAGGGTCATGATCTCAGGGTACTGGGATTGAGCCCCGCGTGGGGCTCCCCACTCAGCAGGGAGTTGGCCTCTCTGTCGCCCTCTGCCCTTTCTTCGTGTGTGTGTGTGTGTGTGTGTGTGTGTGTGTGTGTGTGTGTCTCTCTCAAATAAAGTCTTTTTTAAAAAAGTGATTTTCAAGGAGGAGTGGGAAACAAAGTGAGTGCAAGACAAAGTGATGGCAGAAAAAGATAATGAGCTTAGGGGCTATTATTCAATCATTATTATTACTACTCATTGTTATTAAGTCTGAGTAGTTTGTTGAGGAGGAGGCAGAAAGATGAGGTTGGTGGCTGGGGGGAAGACGTGTGGTGGAAGAAAAGTTTTAGGAAGGGAGATACCACAGTGTATCTGTAAGGACAGGACAGCTCTAGAATGGATCGAACCATGATGTGAGGTCACGGGATCCCGTGGATAGGCAGCCTGGCCTCAGGTGGCAGCAGCTTTAGTCCAGCCACTGTCCAAGGTGGCAAGGCAGGGTACACGGGCAGATGGGCAGATAACTAAATGTAGGTGAGAGGTGATGGAAAGTTCTTTCTGAGTTACTTTATTGTCTCCGTGAAACAAACAGCAAGGGTTTCCACTGATGATAAGCCGTGAGGAGAAAATGGAGGCCACTTCTGAATGAGTCACACAGTTCCCCTGAAATGGGGAAGAATGAATTGACTACAGAAATGTGATAAAGGGCAGCCTGGGGGGCTTAGTGGTTTAGCGCTGCCTTCAGCCCAGGGCATGATCTTGGAGATCCAGAATGGAGTCCCACGTCAGGCTCCCTGCATGGAGCCTGCTTGTCTCTCTCTTTCTCTACGCCCCCGTCTCCATGAATAAATAAAATCTTAAAAAAAAAAAAAGAAAGGAAAGGAAAGGAAAGGAAAGGAAAGGAAAGGAAGAAAGGAAAGGAAAGGAAAGGAAAGGAAAGGAAAGGAAAGGAAAGGAAAGGAAAGGAAAGGGAAGGAAGGGAAAGGGAAAGGGAAAGGGAAAGGGAAGGAAAGAAAGAAAGAAAAATGTAATAAAGACGCCAGGCAGCACTGAGGCTAAGTGGCAGCAATGGCCAGGAGGCACTCAAAATAATGGTCACAAAATCAGGAGAAAATGCAGTGACAGAGAGACCCTAACGAAGATTAGAGTGCACTCAAAACCATGAAAACTGGGGAAAGACCAGGAGAATTTACAAGGACCATCAAGTGAGGCCTACATTTTAATAGCAGTAATGTGGCTGGAGGCACAAGAACCAGCAAAAACAAGGACTGTGGTGGTTCTTGTTCAAACACTCTCATTCTAGCTGACCCGAATATCCTTTTCTCATCTACAGCACGTGCAACCCCTTTTACGGGGGTCAGGAAATCTGAGGTCTTTGACCAGAATTATACCAAGTAACAGAATTAGCTCAAGTCTGCCCTACCATGAAATTCAGAGGGATCAAAGCCCTACTACTTTACTGGGCAAGCAATCCCTTTGGAAAACTTTGTGAGTGGCAAGTCAACTACTCTGCTCCTTTCCATCCCTTTTTTTTTTTTAATTTTTTTATTTATTTATGATAGTCACAGAGAGAGAGAGAGGCAGAGACATAGGCAGAGGGAGAAGCAGGCTCCATGCACCGGGAGCCCGATGTGGGATTCGATCCCGGGTCTCCAGGATCACGCCCTGGGCCAAAGGCAGGCGCCAAACCGCTGCGCCACCCAGGGATCCCTCCATCCTTATCCAACGCATATGTAAAGTTTCTCCAACCTTCTGAGAGCACCTCTGATGGAAACGGCAACAAGGACCAAGGTCAGATACTTCTGTGTCCCTGCGTGGTATGGTCCTGAGACCGACAGGACTTGCTTTGGGCAGTGAGGCTCTCAGGCAGACTCCAGCCGTTGACTGGGCGGGGGGGGAGGGTTAGGACAGATAGCACTCACACAGTGTGAAAGAGGAGGAGAGAATGAAAAGCAAATTCCAATGCTAAGTGAGATCAAGTTGGATGAACATGGAGAAGAGGTTAGACAATGAGGTAGCTCCTATGACCTTAAAAGGAAGAGTGTACACAGCATGGCTGAGAAATGAAGGGGAAAGAAGAGATCCAAACTGAGCACAGCCTCGTCTTTGAAAATGTCTTGATGACAAAAAGAAGGGAAGTGATATGCTTGATGAAATGGCACAAAAGGATTTATTGGAACATTTATGAGCCTGCTAGAGTAATCACTACTTACTTAGCTTGGTATTACTATTATTATTTCTTGTTTTATGAGAGTTAAGAAAAAAAAGAAACACCTTACTTTGCTTATGTGCTCAGGAGCTTGATCGGGCGTGCTGCTGAATTCCCCACCAATCTGCAGGTCACTGACACAGCAAATTGAATCTCTCAGTTCTGTGAGCTTCTGACTGCCCAAGACCAGCATTGTCTGGTATGGTTTGTGTTCTTTGTGCTAAAAGTCAAACAGTAAATAAGTTAACTGTCCACTTAGAGATGAAGCAACTAAACCATAAATCCTGTCCTGACCAGATCCAAACGAAGCTACTGGTTTTCTTAATTTAAAGTTATCCCCATAACTCAGTGTCCTGTGTTTTTCTTAGGTTCTATATTTGTCAATTTGGCATCCATTAATTTCAGTCCACATTAATGGCCAAAATTGTTTACATTTCCCCTGTGATCCAGAGCCTGGTCTCTGAAGCTGCTTTGTTGTTTTAACTCTCACAGAGCAAGTTAGTATCTCCCGTCCTAAATCAATGTAAGGTCAGGTAGGCGACAACTAGGGACAGCCCCTACACCCCAGGGCCTGCTGGAATTATTCACACTACTCAAGCCTCAACTATTCATCTTACCCTGCCCTGCGCTTCCCATGGAAACCTTGATAAAGGAGGCTGTGGCCTTTGGCTCCTCACTTCTTCTGTTACCAGTGCTTCTCGTTGTAGCCCTGTAGGTGTGGCATACTTACTCCTCTCAGGATAATAAAAATATTATCCTGAATAATAAAAAATCTTGGTCTGAATAATAATAATATCTGAATAATAAAAAATCTTGGTCACTCAGCTACCCAAGTGAAAATCCCACAGACACAATTGAAACACTGGAGGCTATGGTCTGAATGTCTTGTGTCCACCCCAAATTCAGACACTGGAATCCTACTGCCCAAGTGATAGTGTGGAGGTAATGAAGTCACAGGGTGAAGCCTCATGAATGGGATTAGTGCCCTTGTAAAAGATCCCACAGAGCTCCCTAACTCCTTCTGCCACATGAGAAGTCGTGACCTGAAGGAGGGCCCTCCCCTGACTGTGCTAGCTGCCTGATGTTGGACTGTCAGCCTCCAGAACTGTGACAAATAAACTGCTGTTTATAAGCCACTCAATCAGTGATACTTTGTTATAGTGGTCAGAATGGACTAAGATATTGGCAATAGATTTTTTTTAGTTTAAGCTATAGTTTATAATCAAGATGCTACTAAAATGACATTAGCAAGAACGTTTGGAATATAACTTCATCTAGCAGCATCGTGTTTTATTATCATTATCATCATCCTCACTATGATGATGGTCCAACCCAGAGCTTGAACCATGAGATCAAGACCTGACCGGAGATCAAGAGTTGGACCCTCCCCTGACTGATCCACCCAGGCGCCCCAGCAGCAGTGTGTTGTAAAATTTCCTGCTGGAAGTTACCTCACTGAAGTCAAGCAGTCAATACGCTACTCTCATGTTAGAGATGAGAGGTTCAGTTTTCTTGGTTTGGTCTGACTGGTAATTTCAGATCATGATCAAACAAGGTCATTAATAATAACTATATCCCAGATGGTTCACTACTATTTATATTCACAAATGCAATTCACATATAGTAATATTTCAGTTAAACCTTATCAAAGTTTATGACACATCTATTTGGGGGATCAAGAATACATACACTCTGGGCCTGGACAGAGTTCTTTTTATTAGAGACCTCTAAGACATTTCTGAATATCCCTAACCTGTTAACATTCTGCATTTTCATCAAAGAAGAGCGGTCTTTAGTTAGACAACCTCCCAAGTGTTCTGAATTGCTCAACAAAAATTACCCCACTCCTTTACCAGTCATCTACTCTGTAAAAAAAAAAACAACAAAAACATTCTAAAACTAAAAAATAAATCCAAGAATTAATATAATTAGAATCACTGTAGATTTACATATACTTTCAGTTGCCTCCAGTGCAGGAATTAAGAATAATACATTTTAATGTTATAACTGCCACAAAAAAACAGCATGTTTGCATTTATTTTGAACCTTAAGGATTGTGATGCTTCAAATAATTAGACCCTTTGACAAAAGTCACCTGTATTATCTGTGAAATTCAAAAGGTTTTACTACTGACCTTATGAAATATAACAGGGTACAAGATATTCACAGATAGGATAAGCTCCCCTTCTTCAATCATGTCTGCTGGATTTTCAGGCTTTTTTCCTATGGCATGTGACTCCTGAGGGAGAAAAATAAGTAAAAGACCTTAAAATCACACTACAACTCAGATTAAGAGGCAGTGGGAACAACAGCCATAAGTAAGATCTGGAGTCAGACAGCTCTGGGTCTGACTCCTAATTTTAGTTTTAAGAAAATTGGCAAAACCTCTCTAAGCTTTAGCTTCATCTTCTATTTTTTTTTTATTTTAAAGATTTATTTATTTATGATAGACATGGGGGGGGGGTGGACAGAGACACAGGAGGAAGGAGAAGCAGGCTCCATGCCAGGAGCCTTATGCGGTACTCGATCCCAGGACTCCAGGATCGTGCGCCCTGGACCAAAGGCAGGCGCTAAACTGCTGAGCCACCCAGGGATCCCCTCATCTTCTATTTTTTAAAAACAAAACAAAAACAGCTCACAGAAAATACTCATTTTATAGAACTACTGCTGGGAATGTGTACATAAAATATCTAATAATGTTTGGGACTAAGTGCTTAACAACTTATGACAAAACAGGAATATCAACTAATGTTGGTATAACACTGGCATTTACGGTTACTATTAACACTTTTACGTATCTCTGCTCATAGTATTACAAAAGCTATTTGACAGCTGATGCAGAGTTCAGATTTACCCAAGGAATATCAGCAAGTTACAATGCAAATACAGATCTGTTTGGCTCTAAAACCCACACTGTCTTGCTTTTTACAACACTATCATCACATCTGTAATACCTCACACTTTCTTTTGTTTTTTTAAGATTTTATTTATTTATTTGACAGAGAGCACAAGCAGGGGGAGCAGCAGACAGAGGGAGAGGGAGAAGCAACGATGCAGGGCTTGATCCCAGGACCCTGGGACAATGACCTGAGCCAAAGGTACACATTTAACCTACTGGGCCACCCACATTCCCCAATATCTCCCACTTCTATTATGCATGCACAATAACTATAAAATAGCCACCACTAGAGTAGACTAGTTAAGAAGTACAGGTGCAAAAATCAGAGGGAGTGACTTTATGCAAAACAGTATAGGAGGCAGCTTTAGAGATCATTCCCTCCACCAAAGCAACCAATAAGATGGAACGAGAAACTGGAATCAACTATTTTGGAATTCTGGAACCTGATCAGTTATATCAACTAGGAAAGTGAATAAAAGGACAAGCTGCTGGTGTTTCATAAATACACACAGAGTGCAAAACAACTACCATCCCCCATTCCTCAGCCCCACTGCAGATGTGGAAATAGAGGCCCCTGTTCCTGGAACAGACAGCTGATGCTATGACAAGCAAGGGGGACCTTGTTCTTCCTAAACTGGGGGCTGTTTTAGTTGCTCTGGTGATATCTTGATGGCGTGGTGTTGACACTTGCCTTGGTGTTGGACCTCCTGCCAGCAGTGGCTTCCCAGACAGCAGCTATTGGTTTGTTTGTTTGTTTATTTGTTTTATTTATTTATTTATTTGCTATTGGTTAATTTAAAAACAGGGCCTTTTTTTTTTCCCCCTCATGTGTGGAGACAGATATTTATGGAAATCTTGAACAGGTCACTGGCTGCCCACAGCGATAATGAAATAAATATTCATAACCATACATAACAAGGAGTACTTGTCACTCCAATAATCCACAAGTAAAAAATATACTCAGAATGTCCAGTATATATTATTCTCAATAAAAACTTATATAAAGCATACAAAGAAACAAGAGACCATGTCACATTCAAAAGAAAAAAAAAATCTGACAAAAACCACCCTTGAGGAAGCCCAGATATAGTAGTTACTAGTCAAAGATGTTACATCAACTGTCTTAAATGAACTCAGTGAGTTAAAGGAAACATAGACAACTAAAAGAAATCAGGCTGCTCAATAAGTGACAGACATCTTCTCACAGAAACTATGGAGATAAGGGAGTAGGGCAACATATTTAAAGCCATGAAAGAAAAAAAACCATTAACCAGAATTCTACACCTGGCAAAACTATCCTTCAGGAATGATAAAGAAATTAAGGCATTTCCAGATAAAAAGAAAAAAAAGGTGAGGGAGTTCATTACCAGTAGACTTTGTATAAGAAATGCTAAAGAGAGTTCTTCAGGATGAAATGAGAAAGACACTAGAAAGTAACTTGAATCCATAAGAAGTGAAGAACACTGGTAACAGCAATGACATACACAAATATAAAAGCCAGAATTACTGTACTTTTTCATTTATAGCTTTTTCCCCAACAGCAAATGCACATAACAATATTTACAAACTTACATTAATAGGTATATAAAGATGTAATCTGAGACAATAACAACATTAAAGGAGAAGGACAGAGATGTATATGAGCAGAGTTATCTACCCTTCAAGGTACTACTGAAACAAAGTTGGTATCATTAAGACTAGGTTGTCATAATTTTCTAATGTTGGGACACCGGGGTGGCTCAGCAGTTTAGCGCCTGCCTTTGGCCCAGGGTGTGTTGCTGGAGTCCTGGGATCAAGTCCCACATCAGGCTCCTTGCATGGAGCCGGTTTCTCCCTCTGCCTGTGTCTGCCTCTCTCTCTCTCTCTCTCTCTCTCTCTCTCTCTCTCTCTCTCATGAATAAATAAAATCTTTTAAAAAATAAAACAAAATTTCTGATGTTAATTGTAATCCACAAGGTAACCACTAAAAAATAAGTACAACACATACAGATGGGAAGAAGGAAAACAAAATACACCATAAAAATTCAACTAAATAAAAAAAAAATTCAACTAAATACAAAAAACGGACAATAATAGAGGAACCAAGGAACAAAGGATAGTATAACATACAGATATCTAACTGGTAGAAGTAAATCCTCATCAGTAGTTAAATACAGATGGGCTAAACTTTTCCATTAAAAAGGCAACGACTGGCAGACTGGATTTAAAAAAATTGATCATCTTAAACACTCTCTGTAAGAGACTCATTTTAGATGTGAAGATACAAAGGGTTGAAAGTAAAAAAAAAAAAAAGGAAAAGATATTCCACACAAATAGTAACCAAATGAAAGGTGGGGTGGCTATCTTATTGTCAGACAAAATAGAATTTAAGTAAAAAAGGTTACAGGAGACAGAAGAGGACACTATATATTGATAAAATGTGCAATCCAAAAAGACAGTCTGATAATTATAAACATACATAACTAACAACAGAATGCCAAAGTATATGAAGCAAAACTGACAGAACTAATGGGAAAAATACACTGTTCCATGATAATCAGTGGAAATTTCAATACCCCACTTTCAATAACAAGTAGAATAACCACACAGAAAATTAATAAGGAAACAGAGGACTTGAACATTACAAAACAATCAAAACAATGAGACCTAACACACACAGAACACTCCGTCTGACAATACACATTCTTCTCAAGTGCGCTTGAACAGTTCTCTAGGATAGACCACCAAGTCCCAATGAATTTGGAAGTACTGAAATAATAAAAAATAAAAAGTATTTTCTGATTATAATTGAATAAACCTAGAAATCAGTAATAGAAGGAAAACTAAAAAATTCAGTAGAAATTAAAAAATACTCTTATTAAACAACCAATGGGTCAAAAAAATATCACAAGGGAAATTAGAAATTACCTTGAGACAAATGAAAATGAAAACACAACATAAGAAACTTATAGGCCATAGCAAAAGCAGTACAAAGAGGGAAGCTTACAGCTATAAATATCTACATTAAAAAAAGAACAATCTCAAGTAAATAATCTTACTGTATTTACTGTATACACTAAGGAACTGGAAAAAGAGCACACTACACCCAAAACAAGCAGAAGGAAGAAAACAATCAAAACTAATCCAAGAAAAAATAAAATATCTGAATAGTAATGGTTTTATTGGTATATTGATACAATGGTAAGGAGATTGAACCAGTAACTAAAAACCTCTTAACAGGGACACCTGGGTGGCTCAGCAGTTGAGCATCTGCCTTTGGCCCAGAGCATGATCCTGGAGTCTCGGGATTGAGACCCGCATTGGGCTCCTTCCATGGAGCCTGCTTCTCTCTCTGCCTATGTCTCTGCCTCTCATGAATAAATAAATAAAATCTTAAAAACAAAAACAAAACCCTCTTAACAAAGAAAAGCTCAGGACTAGATAGTTTCACTGGTGAACTGTACCAATCAAAGAAAAATTAACATCAATCCCCATTCAATGTCTTCCAAAAAGCCTGAGAGAATACTCTTTTTTTTTTTAAAGGTAAGCTCTAAGCCCAGTGTGGGGCCTGAATTCAGGACTCTGAGATCAAGAGCCCCATGCTCTACCAAAGGATTGGTGCCAGGCACCCTGAGGAAATACTTCTTAACTCGTTCAATGAAATCAACATACTCTTACAACAAAACCAGACAAAGACGCTACAAGAAAACTACAGGCCAATATCCTTTATGAAGATTAACTGCAAAACTCCCTAACAAAATACTAGCAAACCAAATTCAGTAGCATATGAAAAAGATTATCACAACCAAGTGGCATTTATCCTCAGGATGCAAGAGCAGTTTAACACATACAAATCAGTCAACGTAAATACCACATTAACAGAAAGATGGAAAAAACCTACATTATTATTTCAACTGAATTGCAGAAAAAAGTATGAGGAAATCCAATCTCCCTTCACAATAAAAGCACTAAATAAAATAGGAACAGACGGGAACTTCCTCAACATGATGAAGGACATATGTGAAAAATCCACAGCTAAAATCATATTCAATGATGATATCAGGATGTGCACTTTTGCCACGTCTATATTCAACATAGTACTAGAAATTCTAGCTAGAACAATTAGATTTAAGAAAAAGAAGGAAGGAAGGAAGGAAGGAAGGAAGGAAGGAAGGAAGGAAGGAAGGAAGGAAGGAAGGAAGAAGGGAGGAGGGAGGGAGGGAGGGAGGGAGGGAGGGAGGAGGAAGGGTAAAAGAGAATAAACAAACAACCACATTAGAAAGAGATAAAATTATGTTTGCAGATAACAGGCATGATATTCTATATATAAAATCCTAAAAAACCCCATTAGAGCTAATAAATTTAGTAAAGTTGCAGGCTACAAAATTAACACACAAAAACCAGCTGTATTTCTATATACTAGCAGTGAACAGCTCAAAAAAGATATTAAGAAAATTCCAGGGCAGCCCGGGTGGCTCAGCAGTTTGGTGCCGCCTTCAGCCCAGGGCGTGATCTTGGAGACCCGGGATCGAGTCCCACGTCAGGCTCCCTGCATGGAGCCTGGTTCTCCCTCTGTGTCTCTGCCTCTCTCTCTTTCTCTGTGTCTCTCATGAAAAGAAAAAGAAAAAGAAGAAAAAGAAAAGAAAAAGAAAAAGAAAAAGAGAAAGAGAAAAAGAGAAAGAAAATTCCAGGGGTGCCTGGATGGCTCAGTCAGTTAAGCATCTGCCTTTTGGCTCAGGTCATGATCTCAGAGTCCTGAGACTGAGCTCCATGTTGGGCGCTCTGCTCAGTGGGGAGTCTGTTTCTCCCTCTGCCCTTCCCCCACACTTACCTGCTCTTTCTCAAAAAAAAAAAAAAAAAAAAAAAAAAAAAGGAATTCCATTTAAAATAGCATCCAAAGGAATAAAATACTTAGGAATAAACTTAATAGAAATGAAAGACTTGAGGTGCCTGGCAGGTTCGGTCAGTACAGCATGCAACTCTTGACCTTGGGTTTGTGATTTTTGAGCCCCACATTGGGTGTAGAATTACTTTAAAAGAATAAAAAATCTTAAAAAAAAAGAAAGAAATGAAGACTTATACACTTAAAAACTACAAAACATTACTGAACAAAATTATTGACAACTTAAATAAATTCAAAGACATTCTGTTCATGGATTGGAAAATGTAGTATCGTTCAGATTAAACACTATTCCAAAGCATACGCAGATTCAATTCAATACCTATCAAAATCTATATAGGGTTTCTTTCTTTCTTTTTTTTTTTCCTTACCCAGAAATAAAATAACCTTCCTGAAATTCCTAGGCAATCTTGAAGGACCATAAATAGCCAAAACAATCCTGAAAAAGATCAAAGTTGGAAGACTCCAATTTCCCAATTTCAGAAATGACCACAAAGCTAGAATAATCAAAACAACGTGGTGCCAGGATAAGACAGACATACAGACCACTAGAATAGAACAGAGAACTCAGAAATAAATCTTATATGGTCAAGTGAATTTCAACAAAAGTGCCAAGATCATTCAATAGGGAAAGGACAGTCTTCAACAAATGGTGCTGGGAAAACTGGATATCTACATACAAATGAATGATGTTAAACCTTTTCCTTATGCTATATATAAAAATTAACTCAAAATGGATCAAAGACTTGAACTAAGAGCTAAAACTATAAAACTCTAAGAAGAAAATACAGAGGAAAGCTTCATTACGTTGGATTTGCCAAGTTTCTTAAGTATGCTACCAAAAGCACAGATAACAACCAAAAAAAAAAAAAAAAACCCAGATAAACTGAACTTGATCAAATTTTAAAACTTTTGTACATCAGAGGAAACTATCAAGAGAGTGAAAAGACAGCCTGTGGAATGGGGGAAAGCATTTTAAAATCACACATATGGTAAGGATCTAGAATCCAGAATATACAAAGAACTCTTACAAATCAACAATAAAGAGACAACCCAATTAAAAAACCAGTAAAGGAGCTTAATAGACATTTCTCCAAAGAAGATACACAAATTGCCAGAAAGCACATTAAAAGATGCTTAACATCACTTACCATCTGGGAAATACAAATTGAAACCATAATGAAATACCATTTTATGCCAACTAGAAGGACTATTCTCAATAAACAGAAAAATCACAAATGTTGAAGAGGATCTGGAGGAATTGGAACCTTTGTGCACTGCTGATGGGAATGTTAAATGATGCAACTGCTGTGGAAAACAGTTTGGTGATTCCTCAAAATATAAAACCTAGAATTATCATATGACTAAGCAATTGCACTCCCAGGTATATACTGAAAAGAAACGAAAATGGACTCCAACAGATACCTGTATACTGGTGTTAATAGCAGCATTATTTGTAGTATTCAAAAATGGAAGTAAGCCAAATGTCCATCAGAAGATGAATAAACAAAATGTGGTATATTCATACAATAGAGTATTATTCGGTCAGAAAAGGGAATGAAGTCTTGATACATACTCCACACAGGTAAACCTTTAAAATATTATACTAAATAAAATAAGCTGAACACAAAAGGACAAATACTGCATGATTCCATGTATATAAAGTATCTAAAACAGGCAAATTCACAGAGACAGAAAGTAGAATAAAGGTTAACAAGGGCTAAGGAAAAAGAAAATGGGCAGTTATTTACTCAGAATAGAATTTGAGATGATGAAAATTTCTGGAAACAGTGAATGGATACATGACATAATGAATGTACTTAATGCCACTTAAATTGAATATTTAAAATAGTAAATTTGGTTATGTAAATTTTACCACAATAAAAAAATAAGTAGGAGACAATAGATGTCTTTATGTACTATCAGGTGCCCAACACACCATCTGACATGCAGTGGGTCCTCAAGAGTAAGAACTGAATGAGTCCATCATGTCTCCTAACACTTAATTCCTCATTACTCATCATCTTAAATTTTTCTGAGGATTTGTGTGAGATGATGGATTAAGAAAGAATGTGGTTAAACTAAAATCAGGGGCACCTGGGTGGCTCAATGGTTGAGCATCTGTCTTTGGCTCAGGTCCTGATCCTGGAATCCTGGGATTGAGTCCTGATCGGGCTTCCCACAGGGAGCCTGCTTCTCGCTCTGCCTATGTCTCTGCCTCTATGTGTCTCTCATGAATAAATAAATGGAATCTTTAAAAAATTAAAAAAAATAAAAAATAAAAATAAAGTAAAATCAGGAGCAGAACAAAGTACCAGCAATATGGAGATTAAAAGGCATGAATTTAGCCAAATTCAGAGAGCAAAATCAAACTAAAAGCAAAAATAAAGGTAAAGATCTGAAAAGAGTCTAATGTGCCATCACTTGAATTCTGCGGGTCTTTTTCTCCTACCAGTTCCCAGTCCTACTGAGGTTTCTAAAAATTTGTTTTCAACTAAGCATTTCCAGTATAAAGCTACCATACATAGTCATCACTAACACCCAAAGACAGAGTGCTCATTGTTTCATGGGAAGAACAGAGAAAGGGCAGCCCCGGTGGCGCAGCGGTTTAGCGCCGCCTGCAGCCCAGGACGTGATGCTGGAGACCCTGGATCAAGTCCCATGTCAGGCTCTCTGTATGATGCCTGCTTCTCCCTCTGCCTGTGTCTCTGCCTCTCTCTCTCTCTCCATGAATAAATAAATAAAATCTTTTAAAAAAAAAAAAAAGGAAGAACAGATAAAGATGAGATTCTTACCATCTCGTAAGCAAATGTTTCTTGTCTACAAACCCGATCTATGGTTATAGTTTCCTCCCGCTGTTCCAGAAGCCTCTTTCTAACCCTGTTAGAGGAACAAGAAAGATCAAATTTCAATACCTTTACTGGGTCTTCCAAGATTTCTCTAACACTTTAACTTTTATTTTGGAAAAAAATTTTTTTAAGAGAGAGAGGATCCCAAGCAGACTCCATGCTCAGCATTGATACCCATGTGGGGTTTGATCTCATAACCTGAGATCATGACCTGAGCCAAAATCAAGTCAGATGCTTAACTGACTAAGCCACCCGAGCATCCCTTGAACTAATTTTAGACTTAATGCTAAAAGAAGCTGTAAAAATAGTACAAAGAGTACCCTTCTCTCACCCAGTTTTCCCTGTGTTAACCCCTTACAGGATCCTAATTATCAAGATCAGAAAATTGCATTAATACAGTATTAGTATCTCTAAGTCTTTATTGAATTTCACAAGTTTCATTTTTTGTTAAGATTTTATTTGAGTGACAGTAAGAGTGAGAGAGAAAGAGAGAGAGAGAGAGAGAGAGAGAGAGAGAGAGCATGAACATGAACAGGGGGGAATGGAAGAGAGGGAGAAGCAGACTTCCCAATGAGCACGGAGCCCAATTCAGGATTTGATACCGGAGCCAAAGGCAGACACTTAACAGACTGAGCCACCCAGGTGCCCCTTCACAAGTTTTTAAATATAATCCTTTTTTTCTGCCCCAGGATCCTCTGCAGGGCACTATACTGCATTTGTTTCTCCTTTCCCTCTTTCCCTCCATTCATCTGCAATTCTGCAGTTTTCTTTAATCAACTTGACACTTCTAAAGAGCTCTATTTCGTTATTTTATAGAACGTCCTTGAATTTGCACAGACTGCCATTTCCTTACCGATTGGAGTAATGCTAGCACTGTGGGCAAGAATACCACAAGAATGTTGTCCTCAGTGTGCCATACCAAGAGGTTCATGATGTTAATATTAATATGTCTTATTACTGGTGATACTTATTTTGGTTAAGCTTCTGTCTGCCAGATTCCTATTTTCTTTTCCTTTGTACTCAATAAGTATTTAGGGGGAGATCCTTTGAAACCAGGCAAACCTCAGTTCTCCTCAAACTTTCACCTGGGAATTTTAGCATTCAAAAGTAGATTCTGTCTGTGACATTTATTGCCATGGAATATGCCCACTGGTGATTCTCTATTTCCCTCCTTCTACGTTTATTCATTGGTATTATGAGGAAGACCTAACTTTCTCCTCCTATTTGATCATTTATATTAATATGAACTCATTTATCTCATTCTGTAGGTTACAATCTAATACTATCATTATTTTATTGATCAAACTGTTCTACCTGTGGCTGTTAGGGGTTCCTTCAGGTTGGCTCCTGCCTTGGGAAAAAAACCCTTATCCTTTTCTTGAGCATTCCCTTGAATGCTCACCCAGTTTTCACCCACTTACACATTTTACACATTCCCTTGAATGCTCACATTTTTCACCCACTTTCTAACACTATTAAGAAACTTAAGGCTCACCTTGCATTTCCCTAGCCTCAGTCATAAAATCAACTACTAAGAGCCTCAATGAGACAGGTGTATAGAGGCCATTAGCTGAGTGCCAGGTGTTATCACTGTTATTGCAGTCAGCACTTTTTCTAGACTGCTCAGTGGAAAGAAGTAGAAAACATAAATCTGTGTATTATTCCATACGTGTACGAATATCTGCACTTCTGTATTTTTCTGTTATATACTTAAAACCATGAGTTTATACTGATCTCTTTGGAGTTTATTCTTGTGTATAGTGTCGCACTCAATTTCCACAAGCACTAGACTAACTGGACCTTCTCTCCTACTCCACTGGTCTACTGTCTCTTCATGTGCTAGTAGCCACTGTTTTAATTATAAAACTTTGTAGTATTTTAGTATCCGGTAAAATTAGTACATCCTCACAATTTCCTTCACACACTCCCCTCCAGGGTTTTCTTCTGATCTTTCTTGCATGTATTCCATATGAACTTTATCACCAACTTGTCTAACTTTATAAAATAACCAATACATTGGGTATTTTTCCTGGGAGTGCACTTAATTTAACAGAAAGAACTGACATTGAGGCACCTGGATGGCTCAGTCAGTTAAGCGTCTGACTTTTGATTCCGGCTCAGGTCATGATCTCAGGATCATGATATCGGGCCCTGTGTCAGACTCTGTGTTCATCAGCGAGTCTAATTCTCTCCCTCCTCTCCCTTTCCTTCTCCTTTTCCCCCTGCTCTCCCTAAAATAAATAAATCTTAAAAAAATAAAAATAAAAAAGAACCGACATCATAGTAATTTTTAGGATTCCTATTCAAGAAGAGAAGGAAGATACAGATAGAAGAGACAGAAGATGTCTTCTTTCAATGTTATCAAGTCTTTTTCCAAGTTTTCCCAGAGTGTTTTAAAATTGTCCCTAAGTTTTACACATTTCTTGTTAAATTCATTCCTAAGTATTTAATCATCTTTTTGACCATCATAAATGGGATTTTTCTCTACCAATATGTCCTCTAATTGTTTAGCTCATATACATGAAGCCTATTTTTTAATATATATAAATTCTGTATCCTCCTCATACACTGAATTCTGGTTTTTCCTGTTTCTTGGTCTGTTTTAGCATTTATTTCCTTGGAATTCTTCAGGTATACTATCATACCATTGGGAGACAGAGATAGTTTTTCTTCTTTATGTACTCTTATCTCTCTAATATTTCAATTTTTTCATTATAACAATATTTGTTATATTTGTTATGGTTATGTCATCAGAGATTATGACTTGCTGAAAGCTCAAATGTCAACATTTATCAATAAAGTGCTCATCTGAAGTATTTACTTTTCTAGACATTAAACTGCTACACACTTAATAGACTATAATATAAACACTACTTTTATAGGCACTGGGAAACCAAAATTCATCTGACTCGCTTTATTGCAATATTTGCTTTATTGCAGTGGTCTGGAACTGCCCCCCAAAATCTCCAAGGTATGTCTGTATTTAATGAGTTTTCAAATTTCCGGAGAGAATGGTCTGATTTTTTTTCTTTTAAAGACTTATTTACTTAAGAAAGAGAGAGAGCACACGCACACAAGCCAGGGAAGCACAGAGAAAGGGAATCTCAAGCAGACTACCAGCTGAGTGCAAGGCCCACATGGAGCCTGATCTCACAACCCTGAGATCATGACCAGAGCTAGAAACCTAGAGTTGTACACCCAACTGACCAAGCCATTCAGGTGCCCCTAGAATGCCGATTTTTGTTTTTGTTAGTAAACTCTAGTTTTGTTATGTTATGATCACAGAGTGTTGTTTATAGTATTTTCACTTTATGGATGCTACAGATGTTCTTTGTGACCTAATACACAATCACCTTTTGTGGTTGTGCCATGTATTCTCTAGTATCAGGGTATAAATTTTAAGTGTATAGATTTCCATAAGACAAAGCCTATTGATTATGTTGTTTAGAACTTTTCTCTCTTATTTTTTTTTACCATTTGTTATTAAACTGCCCTATTAGTGCATTCCTAGCTATGTATCTTGCACCTAATACACTGTATTATTTTGTATGTGTGTGTGTACAGACATCTATATGTGAATATATACATATATATATATATTCCTAAGTATTCTATATTAATTGGAGTTTGTGTCTTTTAGCATTTAAAAAGTGAGCTTTGTTACATTTAATGTTTTAGGGCTTTCACTGAGCTTTTAAAAAAATCCTGCTCAATTGTTGCCTTCTTTGTATGTTACTTTTACAAAGTTAATGCCATTCTAATTCTTTCACTTTTGTATATTATGTGTTCTTTTTGCTATTGCCTTGATCTTTATCTCTGAAACCTAATAGTTTTATTAGGTTATGTCTCAGAATTGATACTTTTCAGTTAATTTTCTCAGATATCCAGTGAGCCCTTTTAATTTGTAGATTAAGATTTTTTTTTTCCAATCTGGAAATTTTTTTAGATTAAGTATTAATTTTGTTCAATTGCTTTGCTTTCCTGCTTTAGGAACTCATGAAGATATTTTTGTTTTTTCTTTTCTTTTTTTTTAATTTTTATTTATTTATGATAGTCAGAGAGAGAGAGAGAGAGAGAGAGAGAGGCAGAGACATAGGCAGAGGGAGAAGCAGGCTCCACGCACCGGGAGCCCGACGTGGGATTCGATCCCGGGTCTCCAGGATTGCGCCCTGGGCCAAAGGCAGGCACTAAACCACTGCGCCACCCAGGGATCCCTTGTCTTGTTTTTCAATCTCATTACAATCAGTTTCTTTACATCATTTGCATTCTCTTGACTATATTCTTGTCTTTCATTGACTCTTATTAAATTTCATTTGCATCTACTCTGCATTAGTTATCTCATAATTCATTTGAGATAATTTTCCTTTTCTTCCATTTTCTGAGTTCTATCATTTTTCTCCATTCCTCCTCTTCCTCATCATTTCTGTTGTTAGTTTCAAAGTCTCAGATCCAAAGTGTTTTTCTATCTTCAAATCCTTGTTTTAATATATTCAATTTTGTTTGGAATGTAGACTTACAGTTTTGTTTCCTAGTTATTTCCTGGGAGAATGAGAGAGCTTTCCTCAGTTGATTTGTATAAACAGTTCTTTCCTCATTTTCTACAAATTCCTTATGGATTTTATTTCTTCTTATTCATTCTGTGATACTTGTGGTGGAAGGTTTCTAAGATTCCTAGTTTAAAGGTACTCTCTTCTGTCATTCTAACGAAGCCCAGGTAAATTAGTGTTTTTTGTTTGTTTTTTGTTTTGGTGGTAAGATCAGGAGACCTTCAATTCTATGGTTCTTTTTCTTGCAGGACTCTAAAGTTTCCTTTTCATATCCTTTAAATGGTGCATGAAGCAGTGCTCTGTTAACCAGCAAAGTGAGAGGATGGGCAGAGAAAATGCAATTGCTATTGTATTAAAGTAATGCTGCTGAAGCTTTTGGGATGAAAGATAAGGTTCAGTAGTAACCATGTAGGAGCAATTTCTCCTATTCCTAGGAATTAAAATCTTTAAGCAGTTTAAAAATTTCAGAACTGCAGATGACAAGTTATTTAGCTTGGTATGGATTAAAGACAGCATGTATCAAAGGAGAATCAATCTCTTCCAAGTGTCTTTTGTCTTTCTTACAGGCATAAAATGAGTCCAGCAGCAACTATATTAGACAGGGGGAGGAAAGTGATACAAGTGTATTTACTTTATGCCATAATATAGGGGTCATGTATTCAGATTTTGTTTTTATTTTTAAGTTATTGGTGGAAAGAAGAAAGGAAGGTTTAGAGAAAGCATAGAGATACAGAGTTTAGCTTTTGGCACAAGCCTAATAATTTACTTGCAGTACTGTTAAGAATAATATTAGTCATTTAAAAAATATTATCATAAATGTGATAAGTATTTCAATAGGGAAGTATAGAGGTCCACATGAGCATAAAACAGGATCTAATGGGAGCCCACAGCCCTCTAGTCCTTGAAGGATAGCAGAAGTCAGCAAGACCAAAAGGATAAGGAGGAGTGAGTTCTAGGCAAAGGCCTAGAGTGAGTGCACATTCTAGGAACTGAAAATTATAGTGGCTGATGCAGTACAGACATAGAGCTGAAAGTATCTGCAAGATCCATTCTATAGAGGCCCTTGTGAGCCACTGAATAACTCAGAATTTTTGCCTAAGAGCCAGTGAAAGGTTTTAAGAGAGATACAACCAGATATGCATTTTAGAAATCTCCAACTCACTAATCAACAATAGTCAAAAAGCACCAATAGAAGCAAAAGACTACAGCAGGCTAAGGGCAATACATAGATGAAGGAGTTTGGACTTTCAACGAGCCTTCAAAAACTTAAATATTACAAGAAAAGTTCTGGACATTTTAAGTGAATCTATTTTCTAAGGGAGGAAAATAGGTTGTAGTAATGTAGAAAGGAATCTTAGGGCCTCAAATATGGAGTTTTGATGGGAAAAGGCTAAGCCATTTGAAACAGAAAGTGGCTAAAAATAAATCTGGAAATACAGATTTGGACTATAGATGCAGGGCTTCATATGTCCAAGAGAGGTACAGCCATTGGGAATTTCTCAAATGCAAATGAGCATGCTCAAGTAGTAGCATGATAAATAAATCAGAAGAAGAAAACACTGGACGTAGGAGAAATGGGAGGCTTTCCTAGTGCTCCAAGTATCACTAATGGAAACATTAGCAGTGGGGATAAGGGAAACAGATTTGGCCGCTATTATAAAAGAAACCAAGGTGGAGTCGAAATGCTTACATTTTCGAGGGTGACAACAGAAAGGGTAGAAACAAGGATTATAAAAAGATAAGGTTAAGGTGGTGTGAAGTAGGTGGGCTACAAACTGGAAATTATAAATGTCACCATCAGACACACATTTTCTCAATAATACTACAGCACAGTGTTTCTCAAAGAGTGACTGGCAGACCAACACTGATCTGAGAGCTATTTGTTATTCCATCAGTACAGACAATGAGAGTAAGCATTTAGAAACATTCACAGCAATATAAATTAATATGAATATGAGTAGTAATTTTACTATTAAATTTAATAAAATTTAATTACAAGTAAATGATTTCAATAAAGTTGCATGATACAAAATTAATTTACAGAAATTGACTGCATTTCTATACACTAATAATAAAGTAGCAGACAAAAATTTTTTTTTAAAATTTCATTTACGGGACGCCTGGGTGGCTCAGCAGTTGGGCATCTGCCTTCGGCTCAGGTCATGATCCTGGGATCCGGGATTGAGTCCCGCATCGGGCTCCCTGTGAGGAGCCTGCTTCTCCCCCTTCTGCCTTTGTCTCTGCCTCTCTCTCTCAGTCTGTGTCTCTCATGAATAAATAAATAAATCTTTAAAAAAAAAATTCACTTAAAATTGCACCATAAGAATAAAATACCAAAGAATAAACTCAACTAAGGAGATGCAAGACTTACCCTCTGAAAACTGTAAAATACTGATGAAAGAAACAACACAATGCAAATGGACAGATACTGCATGCTCATGGATTGGAAGATATTGGTAAAATATCCTCACTACCCAAAACAACTGACAGATTCAAGGCAATTCCTATTAAAATACTAACAGCATTTTTCACAGAACTACAACAATATAAACATTTTTATGAAACCACAAAAGACCCTAAGAGTTACAGCAATCTTGAGAAAGAACAAAGCTGGATGTATTACAATCCCAGATTTCAAAATATACTACAAAGCTGTAGTAATCAAAGAGTATGATACTGGCATAAAAACAAACATACAGGCCAACAGAACAGAATAGAGCGCCCAGAAATAAACCCACAGAGTCAATTAATAATCAAATAAAGCCACATAGTTAATTAATCTATGAAGGAGGCAAGAATATACCATGGGGAAAAGCCAGTCTTTTTTTTTTTTTTTTTTTTTTAAAGCCAGTCTTTTGAACAAATGATGTTGGGAAAACTGAACAGCTACATGCAAAGGAATCAAACTGAACCACTATCTCACATCACACAAAAATAAACTCAATAATGGATTAAAGGCCTAAATGTGAGACCTGAAACCATAAAACTCCTAGAAGGCAATATATGCAATAATTTCTTACACATCAGTCAAAGCAATATTTTTGTAGATGTCTCCTCAGCCAAGGAAACAAAAGTCAAACAGAATAATCTATTAGAACTATATAAAAACAAAAAGTTTTTGCATGGCAACAAAAATCATTAAAAAAAAAAAAAGCAAACTACTAAAAGGGAGAAGATATTTCTAAATGATATAGCCAATAAAGTGTTAATATCCAAAATAAAGAACTTATACAACTCAACAGCAAACCCCCCCAAATAATCCAATTTAAAAAAGCAGAGGGCCTGAATAGACATTTCTCCAAAGAAATCCACATGGTCAACAGACATTTGAAAAGATGCTCAGGATGCCTGGATGGCTCAGGGCGTGATCCCAAGGTCCTGGAATGGTGTTCCACACTGGGCTCCCCATAGCTTGCTTCTCCCTTTGCCTACGTCTCTGCCTCTCTCTGTGGGTCTCTCGTGAATAAATGAATAAAAAAATCTTTAAAAAAAGAAAGAAAGAAAAGAAAAGATGCTCAGCATCACTAATCATCAGGGAAATATCATCTGACACCAGTCAGAATTGCTAGAATCCAAAAGGGATGCCTGGGTGGCTCGCAGCTGGGCATCTGCCTTTGGCTCAGGGCATGATCCTAGGGTCCCGGGATTGAGTTCCACATCAGGCTTCCTACATGGAGCCTGCTTCTTCCTTTGCCTATGTCTCTGCCTCTCTCCTCTGTCTCGGTGTCTCTCATGAATAAATAAATAAAAGCTTTAAAAACAAACAAACAAACAAACAAGAATAACAAGTGTTGGTGAGATATAGAGAAAAAGGAATCCTTTTTGGTAGGAATTTACCTGGTGGCGCCACTGTGGAAAACAGTATGAAGGCTCTTGAAAAAAATAAAAAATATAAATACCATATGACCCAGTAATTCCACAACTAGGTAGTCACCCAAAGAAAAAAACACTGCTTCCAAAAGATACATGCACCCCTATGTTTACTATGGCATTACTTAAAATAGCTAGGATATGGAAGCAACCCAAGTGTCCATGGATAGATCAATGGATAAAGATGTGTATAATGGAAAATTACTCATCCATAAAAAAGAATGACAGCTTGCCATTTGCAATAACATGAATGGACCTAGAGGGTATTATGCTAAGTGAAACAATTCAAATAGAGAAAGACAAATACTATATAATTTCACTGATAGTGGAATATAAAAAGCCAAACAAATACAGAGAACAAACTGACAGCTGCCAGGAAAAGTGGTGAGGGGGACAAAATGGGTGAAGGAGAGTAACAGGTACAGGCTTCCAATTGTGAAATAAATAAATCATGGGGATGGAGGGACAGCATAGAGAATAAAGTCAATAGTAATGTAATCAGTATTATTACTAGCCTGTGTGGTAATAACAGATGGTTGCTACACTTGTGGTGAGCATAGAACATATAGAGCTGCCAAATGGCTATGCCGTACATCTGAAACCAATGAAGCATTGTATGTTAACTATACTTCAATAAACCCAAATTCAAGGGGCACCTGGATGGCTCAGTTCATTGAGCATCCAACTCTTGATTTTGGCTCAGATCATGATCTCAGGGTTTTGGGGGGGAAAGTCATCTTAAATAAAATCTCTGTAATCTTCAAAAGATAATAGTAATAATAACCTTTGTTCTTAAAAAAAGGACTTTTATTGTGTTTGTCTTTTAATTCCATTTTCCCAGTAATTAACTAGTATCCTCTTTTACAAAAATATGGATCTGTCAAAAATTAGAAACTGAAAACAAAAGTTTGAAAAACTATCAGAGTTTTCACCTTGCACTGGAATCTAAGTAGATCAACTGTACCTTTGTAAACACACATTTAAAAATAAACACACACAAAAAATAAAATAAAATAAAAATAAACACAAAATACATAAAAATAAACACAAATCTGAATACAGAATGGACATTAGAAGTTATGTATTTACTGCTAATTTTCTTTAGGTGCAATAATACCACTCTGATTATGTAAGAGAATAATACTTAGGGGAGCTATATGCTGCCGTATTTAGGTCTGAAACTTACTGAATGGTCCAGCAATAGAAAAAGACTTGCAGCAGGTATCTCACACAGAGCAAAAGCAAATTCAGCCAAATGTTAACAATGATTGGATTTAGGGGGTGGGGTGATAACAATAAGTACTCTTGTGAATAACATAACGTTGAAAAAAGTCTTAAATAAGTACCACACAATAAAAGTAAAGTCTTCCATACCCCAAAGTCACTAGGTCAGTATTCTCAGGGACGACATCCGGATCCTCGCCCTCCTCAAGGCACTTCAGTTTATCAACGCTGAAATACAAACAAAAAAGGAAAAACAATCATCCATCTTGTCCACAACGATCAGGGTTGTGTCCTAAATACATCATTAAACAATTAAGCCAGGTGAAATCCAGCAGACGGGGTTCAGATGCGGCCAGAATTCCAGACAATGATATCTGTGCCGATATTCTATCTACAAAGAGGATACACGGCCGATTGATGCATGGCGGCCGATACTATTAGATAGATAAAGAGATCGTTAAAGTTTTTTTTTTTATTTTCACCCTATAAAAGGCCCTTGGGGGGGGGAATATTTTCAGTAACTGCACACCCGGAGGTCCCCCATTAGGAAACACGGTTAATCAAAGGTTTCAACACTCCCCTGGTTAAATTTCCTCCCAGGCTCATCATTACGAAGGCTCCTCCATTGTCAAAGTGTCTTTTCAATGGCAGCTACACGCCGCCGTTACTCTGATCGCCCTTCTATATATTAGCAAGCACTTAAACAATTAACCGGTAGAAAAATTGATCTTTGTAGGCAGCTCTTCCGTCCCTCCGCTCCGATCACCGGACTCCTCCCGGGGCTCCAGGACAGCCTCGGAAGGGCGGTCCTTCCACCTCCGGGAGTCCGCGCACAGGCCCTCCCCAGGAGGAGTCCCAGGGGAGCGCAGGAGCAAGGCTGCATCCAGGCCGGCTCCCAGCAGCAAGAGCTCCTCCGCACCGCACTCACCCGCACACCGTCCGCAGCTCGGCCGCGGCCTCAAGGCTGCAGCCCAGATCCCGGGCCACCGCAGCATCCTCCTGGCCCCGGTCCGCGACACCGTGGCTCCCAGGCAGCGCGGATTCCTGAGGCTCCTTCAGCGACAAGTCCCCTTCCCTGCGCAACCGGCCACGCCACAGCTCCCCGAAGGCGCCCACATGGAAAGCGCGCGTGTTTAGCTCGGGAAGCTCGTACTCTGGGAAGTTGCAGCTCCCGCTGCTGGAGACCGGGTCCTGCCTGCCTCCCATTCCTCCGCACGCTGTGCCACCCCGACTGCCTTCAGCCATGTTCGCCCCACTCCTTTCCCTGCAAAAGCCGGGCGAGCAAGAGGCCGCGGAGCGTGATGGGACTTGTAGTTGCACGGGGCTCGGTCCGAAGAGCGGCGGGGCTGCGTGGGCACGGCTTTCAGACACTGCATTTCCCAGCAGGCCCCGGGCCGGGCACGCCCCCGGGCGCGGTACCGCGAGCTTCCGCGCGAAGGGCTGAGCGCATTGTTCTCCGCTCGCGGCGCTGCGGCGAGCGGTCGGCTGCGCTCGGTCTCCCGGTGCCCTGTGTCGCGTTCCCGTCCCCCACCGTCCCGTGGCATCGCTCTCCGCGAGACGGGGCGGCCTCCGTACGCCCTTCGAGCCCGTTCGTTGCGGTTGCTCGGCCCGGGATGCGGGGCTTTTCTTTGCCTCCGGGGCTCGTGCGCTGCGCTGCTGCCTCACCGTCCCAAAGCTGGAGCGACCTGGGCTGCGAGGGCGGAGACCGCGGGCACGCCCGGCCCTCCAGATCCGGGTCGTTAGAAAATCCCCCCAACCGCTGCATCTTCTTGTGTTTATACGCATGCATTGTGCTGTACACGCTTAGAATAGTGTGTATTGAGAGGCAACTACGTATTAGATACTGTACGGTATTAACCCTAATGTGGGTTTTTAAAAATCATGACCTTCCCAGGCAAGGATTGTCATGCCCATGGTACCACTGAGGAAGGAGTTAACTATAAGGAAATAGAAGCAGGATTGGAACGGACTAGCTTCAGGCGGAGCTTCTCCCATGGCTCGGAGACCCGAAAGGACGGAACAGGACATATAAGGAGCCTTGGTTATTTATTTATTTATTTATTTATTTATTGGTATATTATTCATACATCATATATATTTAACCCATTTAAAGTGCTCATTCAATGGTTTCTAGTGTATTTACAGAGTTATGCAACCATCACCATAACCAATTTGAGAATATCTCAACCACTCCACCACTCCAAAAAGAAACTCTTACCTTTGAGCTATGGCCCCCAATCCTCTCAACTCCTTCAGCCCTAACCCAACCGCTTCTCTTAGTCTCTGAGATTTAAGATTTACGTAAGTCGATTTAGCATAAGTGTTAGATTTATCTGATCTTTTGTGATTAGCTTCTTTCATTTAGCATAATGTCTTCAGGGTTTATCTATACTTTGCTTGTACCTACTTCATTTCCTTTTATGGCTGAATAAAATTGCATTGTGTGATGTACCATATTTTGTTCATCAAGAAGTTGATTCTATTTTTTGGCTATTATGAATAATGCTACTATGAACATTCATGTGCAAGTGTTTTGTCCAGACATATATTTTCATTTGTTTAATATATATATATATATATATATATATATATATATATATATATATAGTAACTATGTTAAGCCATGTGTAGAATTGCCCTTTCCAACAGTGGCTGCCCCATTTTACACTCCCACCACAATCCTATGCGGATTCAGATTTCTCCACATCTTTGTTATTATCTGATTATAGCCATCCTAGTGGGTGTGAAGTAAAACCCTCATGGTTTTGACTTGCATATCATACCTAGTGATACTGAGCATCTTAGCTTACTGACCATTTGTATATCTTTCTTGGAGGAATGTCTAACCAAGACCTTTGCCCATTTTTAATTAGGTCATATGACTTTTTATAGGCATTCTGGTATTTATCAATATATTATTGTAGGAAACATCTGTTGTTTTTGTCTGCCTCGATTCCTGTTTCTTAAAACTGACCGCTACTCCTTTTGGTCCTCTTGGGGCTGCCAATCATAGAATCCTTCCCACTCCGCCATAGTGATTGGTTTAAGGATGAGTAACTAGATTCAATTAGAACCAAGCAGAATCCTCCTCTGGGGATTTATCTATAAACTAAGAAACTCTTCTTCCATTCTAAGGACCTAAGGATCCTGTGTTGGCCAGTGGAAGAGTTAGAAGAAGGAAAGCCAAGAATTTAAATAAGACAAGTCAGAAGGTAGACAAGGAGAGAAGTCATGTGACTTAGAAATTGTGGCTAAGGCCTCCCCCCCCACTTCCCATTATGTAAGCCAGTGATTGTTTTTATTTTAAGCTAGTTTGAGTTCGATTTTTTTTTTATTAATGAATTTATTTGAAAGAGAGCAAACATGACGGTGGAGGGGGGGTGGGGGGAAGAAGCAGACTCCCTGCTGGGCGGGGAGCCAATGCAGGACTCAGTCTGAGGACTCTAAGATCATGACCTAAGCCAAAAACAGACAATGGACTGAGCCACCCAGGTGCCCCTTGAGTTAGATTCTTGCAACCTAAAGACTAATAATCTTCCCAGGGCCTGTAAGACTTGGTCCAAACCTTTCAACAGGGGGAGCTCTCACTCCAGAGAATGAGGTCACACTTCAGGTGAAAGAATTCCAACCTACATTTGGGGATTTAGTAACATTGGTTTTAGTAGCGGAGACCACAGTGGTACCTGAGCAGCAGTGGGTAGGGGCAGGACCAGAATAAGCATGTGAGAGAAAAGTGGTTCTTGTCACTATAAGGTGTGGCACTGGGAACAACAGTTTGAGAGGTGTGGATTCCAAGGATTAATGGGGAAAGGATTAGTAGTGGTGAGCACCAGCAGCAATCACAACATGGCACTCGGTTGAGTCTTGTTATCAGCAAGCAGCCTCTCTTTGGAATAAGGCTGGAGGACTCCATAATAGCACTGCAGAACAAAAAGTATTTGGAGCTGAAGGCATTTGAGAATAGGCATTTTTTCCCCCTGAACTCCATTGTCTGCCTAAATGCAGAGCCCTCCCCAAAGAACTCAACTCATAAAAATTGTGTCTCTAAAAAAATACTCCTTTGCAATCCATTACCTGAATCCATGCTCAACTGAGCATAAATCTTGATGAATTACCAAAGCTGCACTGCTTGTGATCTTATTCTAAACCAATTGTTTTTCAGTTGATCCACAATTAGCAGGGGAGCATACCTCAATTCTAAATTTAAATGACAAAGTGCTTGACCTTTCTTTCTTTCTTGCTCCGTGGGGCAGGCATTCCCACCAGATTCAAAGAAATGCCCTCCAAGATTGGCTGCCTTGCATTTCTAGTGAGAAGGGGTAGAGGCAAAAGCCTAGTCCTCACCCAGCACCCTTTAGACATTGTGAGGCTTTAGGAAAATAAAAACTAGCCAGCTCTTCTCCAAGAAGAGTTGGGGATTCCTCCACTGAAAATACAAAAAAAAAAAAAAAAGAGAGAGAGAGAGAGAGAGAGTGAAAGAGAGAGAAAACCTTTTGCTTGGCACTGTCCTTGGATTCTCTGCCTCAATAGATTGTGTTCAGGAGGAGAATTGCTTTCCTAAAGCCAGGGAACCGTGTGGGGTTTTCTCTTTGCCAAAGAAAGTACTAGTAAAAAGACAGAGAAAGTTGTGATTGGAAAAGACAACTGGAGTGCTCTTAGTCATAAAGGCAGTTGGTAGAATAATAACCATTTAGTGAGGAATAAGATAACCATTCAGAGGCCTGACATTAATTACAAGGAATGTTAACACCCGAGATGGAAAACATGAATCTAGCATCCCCTTTCATTCTAAGCAATGATGCTTTTCAAGGTTGAATAACTATTAATAGATATTTGCATAATGACTTTCTTTTTATTCTCTAAATTGCCCCCAACTAATTGCTTTAGAATACCTGTACTATTTCTTATGAGTGAGCAAAGAGAGTATGAAAGTCCACTGGTAAAAAATATAGTTGGAAAATGTTCTGGCCCCCTTTGGTTATAGGGATTGTGGATGTGGCAAAGAGATTTGTCCTCGGGGTGCCTGAGTGGCTCAGTTGGTTAAGCATTTGCCTTTGGCATAGATCATGATCCTCAGGTCCTGGGATAGAGCCTGCATGGAGCAGGGAGACCCTGCTTCTCCCTCTCCCTCTGCTGCTCCCCCTGCTGTGTTCTATCTCTCTTTCTGTCAAATACATAAATAAAATCTTAAAAAAAAAAAAAGATTCTGCTCTCATCTTGGATGAAAACATCTTTTCCTTCCCTTCCCATCTTCTATACTTTTCTGAAGCAAGTCAGTATACGCTGCTTATCCTCAAGACAGGAGGGTAGAAATTAAACTCCCATCTCGTAGAGTGGAGAGGAATTACATACAGTATTTGGAATTTTATTTTATTTTTTATTTTATTTTATTTATGATAGTCACAGAGAGAGAGAGAGAGAGGCAGAGACATAGGCAGAGGGAGAAGCAGGCTCCATGCACTGGGAGCCCGACGTGGGATTTGATCCCAGGTCTCCAGGATCGCGCCCTGGGCCAAAGGCAGGCGCTAAACCACTGCGCCACCCAGGGATCCCAGTATTTGGAATTTTAGAAAGGAGACTTGACTCTTCTCCATTTATTTAATATTCAATCTTTTATTTATATCACTGTGGTCTTGTGGATATTTATTTTATGCTTTGGGTTATCATCTAATACTACTATATTAACCATGTTTCTGATGCTTTGACATCTTGCAGACCTGGAAAAGACTGTCCCTCCCAGGGATAGCCAATTCCTAGAGGGAGTAAAGGACTCTCCTTGGAGTGCTCCTTTCAAATGCAAACCAATGACTCCAGAGCCTTCATTATATCACCTCCTCTGTTGGGTTCTCACTCTCAGGACTGCTATTTCCCTGCCTTTAAATTAGCCAGGTCCAGGGGTACCTGGGTGGCTCAGTCGGTATGGCCTCTGACTCTTTATTTCAGCTCAGGTCATGATCTCAGGCTCATGGGATCCGGCCCCCCAATAGGCTCTGCACGCAGCATGCAGCCTGCTTCTCCCTCCTCCTCTCCTCTTACCATCCATCCCCCCACCCCCACCACACAGACACTCGTGCACACTCTCTCTAAAATAAATAAAATTTTTTTAAAAATTAAAAATAAAAATTTGGAAATAAAAATAAATTATCAGGTCCAAGTATTAGGGGCAGCTGTATACCCCACAGCCACTGAAATGATGCAAACGAACCACTCCTAAAACCCCTTATCCTGCCTCATTTATTCCCTCCTGCAGAAACTCAATTAAGGCTCTTGCCCACACTTCCC